CCAAGCAAATCCTTTCCATTCGCAATAGAGCTGTGGTTCCCCAGGGGAAAATGTATTCCCCACCCCCCGCCCCTCCTTCCCTTGCACTTCTGCGGTCCCTAGGAGTCCACGAGAAAGTCGCTGAAGCATCAGCAAGCATTGCACTGCTCTGCAGAGCAGCAATATCCCGCGTTTGCAAGCTCCTTCCTCGGGGGCGAGGTTACCCTGAGCACACCGGAGTCAGCTGAGGACAGAGGCTGGCTCGGGGCTTTGCCTTTCAGTGCTGCAGGGTGGAAGCAGGAGTCATTTGGGGACAAGCCTTGCAGCCCCGTGGGTCTGGCCTAAGGAGCAGGTGAATTTGCCTCTTTGTGCTGCACTTGCGTTGCTGATGGCACATGTCACAGCACCCAAAACTGTCTCCCCAGCATCCGGATGCCCAAAATAGCCAGCCTAAACACGGGAACGGACCGCACTGAAGGCCTGCGTTGTGACTAGTGAGAGACCCCTCGTGTACCTCAGACTACTGGCCACGCGGTGCCCTGGCGCCAGGAGCGTGGTGTTTGCAAACGCCTGCGGAGAGCACTGTATAAGGTGCTGTGTCTCTAAGACAGCCTGTGTCTGAAATGGGGGCTGGGATTGCCTAGGGGAGGCCCACAGGATAGTGGCTCTGTACTCAGGCCCTGCAAGTGAACTTATTTCTCCTTTCTTCAGCAGCTGTGGGGTCTCAGGTGCACGGTGCCTAGGTGAGACGCACACACAGAGCTACACATACCAAGTCAGGCTTCGGTCTCCGCTTGGCAAAGCCGTGGCCGGGGAACTGGGCTAGCGTGCCTTACCTTTTGCGGGGGGCTCCCGAGAGTCATCTCCACGTAGTAGCCCTGGCCGGATTTCCCCCTCAGGTTGTCGATCATGTTCACAAAACTGCTCCTTTGTCTGGAGTCCTCCTGCTCCTCCGCCACTGAGCGCTGCACCCTGGGGCCCTGTTGCAAAGTGCCCATCCCGTTCCTCAGAGGCACCCGGATCCCCAGATGATTACCTTTTGCGGGGGGCTCCCGAGAGTCATCTCCACGTAGTAGCCCTGGCCGGATTTCCCCCTCAGGTTGTCGATCATGTTCACAAAACTGCTCCTTTGTCTGGAGTCCTCCTGCTCCTCCGCCACTGAGCGCTGCACCCTGGGGCCCTGTTGCAAAGTGCCCATCCCGTTCCTCAGAGGCACCCGGATCCCCAGATGAGGCTGGGGGGGCCCCCCCCCCCCCCCACCCCGGCCCCCG